AGCTTGGCCTGTCATCTCTTCAAATGAACACAGAGTTCCCTCTACATAGTACTGCACATATCTGGCCTTCGGGCACATACATCTCGCTATACAGTTAGACAGAGYACACATACCCTTTGGGCARATACACAAACACATGGCCCTATGGGCTCATACAAACATACATAGCCTCTGGCCATACACACATACACACAACTACGATACTGGGCAGGGGGGGTATATCAGGTATATGACGGGGTCTGCTCACGCATGGCTTAGCTCTAGGGTACGAGTAGGGATATAAGTCGCTCTGGCTAGTCTGAGTTCCGCCTAGCCTTGGGTGAGCTAGGGGAAGGACGGTAGGATGTGTCCGCGGGCGCTGGCCTGCCTTGCTTAGGTAATCCTGCTGGGTAGACTCTCTGAATTSGGCCTGCAGAARATTGCATGAGCCTGRCGTCCGAAGTTCCCGTAYGGCAAGGWTCRTCCGCTTCCGCTTTCATCAGGGCTGGGAGGTTGGCCCAGCCTTGGTGCTTGTCACTGCTGTCTGCTCCAAGTTGCCCTCGATACTGGTAGGGCGATGGTCCTGAGTGCTGGTCACAGTGAGGTAGGATAGTAGTGACAGGGTGTGCGCTGGGAGTATTAACGTTGGGATGGTTAGGGTAGGTGGCCTATCCCGTCAGGACATCCATTGGCTGCCCCTACCAGGAATCACCGCGGGTCTGGTCCTTGGCCTCTAAAACACCCTAAGAAAAATAAAAAAATAAAAAAGAAAGAGAAAGAAAAAAAAGAAAGAAAAAAAAAAGAAAAAGTTTAATTTAAAAATGAATAGCAAGCAACTGAGGCCTTGTCGTACCACCTCATGCCTGGCCAGAGGTACAGTCAGATGCATTGTGGACAGGGCTTCCTGAGAATGCCTTGAAAAGAAGGGGATTGTGGACAGGGCTGAATGCCTTGAAAAGAAGGGGGCTGACAAAGCAATAGTGCGTCCTCCCACTACTCTCGACATGCTCAAAAGACACAAATCATGGCCGTGTATCTTCGATAAGGTTAATTACTCCACAGTGGGCGTGGAAAATTGGGGTTAGAGCTCTTGACCCGTGTGTCCCCTGGCCCGGGAAGAGGGTACTGGGACCCTGGAAATTTTGGAGACTAAAACTTTCTGGCGGCCCTATTAGTGATTTTGATGTTTTGAACCGAGGCGGGCCGGTTCACTGGTAGGAATAGTTGGCCTTGAGTTCTGGAGTAAGGCCTGTGGGTTTCGAACCGTGGACTAGTAGAAGTAGTTGTTTTCTAACGCCACTCTGCTTGGGCTGTTCTAGATGTCTTCGGGTGTCTGTCTTTCCATAAATAGTCTGTCTTGCACATCGATTGGCACTCGATCTCGTGACAGCCCCTAATGATTCCGGAACCGGCTCCGGATGAAACGCGTAGGGCTTGGCCGGAGTGTTGACCTTGCTTTATCGCTACGGACATGACATCCACTTTTGGGTTCAATTTGTTGGCGGGTTTGACTTTTTATTATACGATGCCAGCATTCGCGTTCGGGAGACATCGATGTGTAAACCTTCCTCCTTCTACTCTCTTTCTCTTTCTCCCCTCTCTTTCTCTCCTCCCTTCTCTTTCTTCTTCTACTACCTCGCTATTCAAGGGTGTCTTCTTCATTATTGTGGTTGTGATTAGGCTGAATGGTCGTGTGTAAGAGAATCACTAACAAAGGAACAAAGGGCATTCATGGAGAAACCACTAACTAAAGATGAGATTTGGACAGCTTTGATTCTCATGGAAGAAGAGAAAACACCGAAAATTGATGGACTCCCTAAAGAATCGGAAATGGTATGGGGTTTCATGGCACAGGATCTTATGGATTACTTCTAGGAAGTCAGGTTGACAGGAGATTTGGGGGAAATTGTGGGTCAGGGAGTATTAACTCTCTTACATAAAATGACGATAAAACTAATATTAGAAATTATCGACCAATCACTTTGCTTACAGTTGTCAACAAACTAATAGCGAAGGCATTAGCTGAACGAATAGCTAAAGTAATCCCGGATATTATACATCCTGCTCAAACTGGATTTATCAAAAGTAGAAACATACAAGATAATATACTTCTAATTAATGAATTGATTAGGGTCACTCGCCAATCCAAACACAATGCGGCTTTTATTTTTATAGATTTTGAGAAAGCTTACGATCATGTGGATTGTTTTTTTTTTGACAAATGTCTAGAAAATTTTAACTTTGGTCCTGATTTTAGGAGATGGATCCAAATACTACATAGGAATGTTTCTACTAGTATTATGGTAAATGGTTATATTGCGCCGCCCATTCCATTACACAGATCAGTTAGACAAGGGGATCCGATTGCCCCCTATCTTTTTGTGATTATTATGGAAGCATTGACAGCAAACCTTCGTCATAATAAGGATATTAAACGAATACAGATAACATCTATAACAGAAGAAGCAATCCCAATCTGTTCTTTATTTGCTGATGATCTCTCCCTAATGATAGAAGCATCACAAAAAAATATGAAGGAAATCCAAATTTTGATGGATAAATTTTGTCAATTATCTAAAATGAGAGTCAACTGGGGTAGCAAAACATTAGGGTGGTGGATCCATCATCAAGGGGTGAGACCTCCTGAGCAACCTCATGTCAAATGGCTTCCTATTGATAATCCGATTCGAGTACTAGGAATCTCCCTCTCCGGGGTGGGAAAACCAAAAATAAATAATGAGTGGATAATACAACAATCTCAAATTAAGTTTGATCTCTGGAAGAACAAGCATTCTTCATTGTTGGGACGTACTCTGGCCATTAATAATGTTATCCTAGCCTCAATCTGGTATAAATCTGCTATTTGGCCATTAGACAAAATAACCATAAAATTTTTTTAACAGGAATTATCAGCCTACTTATGGAGGGGGAATTATGAGCTCAAAAATGTAACCAGCCGACTGGCATGGAAATCAGTTATACAGCCTAAGAATAAAGGTGGGTTAGGGATAATTGACCCAGCTACAAAAGTTATGGCGCTCTTCATTCAATGGATCAAGAGATTGTTGTTTTACCCACAGACTCCCTGGTCGGCCCTAGCATGGGAACAGATTAAACGTTTAGCGCCGGAAACAGTGGGGAATGTCGACCCTATGACGTGGCTAGACAACTGTGCCTGACCATTGCCAAGAATTCTGGTTAGGGATCCCCCGATTGACTTCTCCTTTGATAGACTTGCTGCAAGATCTGACTTGGGTAATGATTCCTTTTGGGTCACTCTTATCAAGACATGGAGAAAATTACCCCTAACTGATAAGATCACCCTAGAAAGATGGGAGGAGGTCAGCCAACAACCTCTTTTTAATAACAGATGGATTGAAGACACTCAAGGATGCGTTCTCCATTGTATGGATTCCCCTTGGAATGCATGGGTTACAAGAGGAGTCCTGAGAATTGCAGATATTTGGAATAATGAATCAAAGGATTGGATTGATCCTGAAGAATTAAAAAAACTTCTTGATTATTGTTATCACCCACAGGAAGCATTTGATAAGTTAATTGACCTTATTCCCTTGGAATGGTTTCGAATCCTTCGCAAGGGTCCGAAATTGGAAATTAATGATTGGATAGCTATAAAGGACCATCCTAATATGATTGGTAACATTCTAGATAAATTCAGAAATGGGGATATCCTCCTTGAAATCTATGATTTGTTACATGATAATACTCTCAGCCCAAAAAGTCAGAATCAAGTCAAATGGGTGAGGGATAATCAAATCTTCAGAATTAGAGTGTTAAGGAAAGAAGACAAATGGTTAGCCTTTAAACCTGATACCCCCATCCACGGTTCAGCACTAGATCCAACAAATTGGATTTGGGAGGCTCAAAGTAAGCTGAAGAACCAAGAAAAAAAGTTTACGCGTCACTTGCATTCCCTAACAGTAAAATCCACTTATAGAATGTTAAGAGTGAAAATTAATCTAAAAGACAAGATATCTGATAGATGTAGAAAAAACCTTAATCTTAGCAGAGAGGAGGTAAGATCCATCAAGTGGTTTAACTTAATCAAATGTAAACCAGCTAAATTGGCATCCCTCCAATGGCAAATTGAGCATAGATGTCTCCCAACTAATGACTGGATTATAGACAGATCCTCTTTGGAGCAAAAAGGAATTGCCTCAAGATGGTGTAAGTTTTGTAAATCGGCCTTCCCAAGTAGGTTGATTCCTGAAACTATTGAACATATATTTCTTCAATGCCCTGAACAGCCATTTCGTCAAAACGGACATATTATATTTTTTGAACGAAATCAAAACTGACTTTTTTTGTTAAAATCCGGTTGGAATTTTTTGATCCTGCGCCCCTGGTCTATGGTTGAGACCAGATATAATTTATTTATTATTTTTTTTTTTTTATTTATTTTTTTTTATTTTTTTTTTTTGTATCTGGTCTCAACCATAGACCAGGGGGGTCCGGGGAACGCCGGACCCCCAAGAGCAAAAAATTCTGACCGGATTTTAGCAAAAAAAATCAGTTTTGATTTCGTTCAAAAAATATAATATGTCCGTTTTGACGAAATGGCTGTTCTGGAACTATTTGGCTCTAGAGATGGTGGGACAAAATATGGGATCAGCTAGGCCCACAGATGAGGTGGCCGTGGGGATGGAAAGCAATTCTTCTAGAGGCATGGAATTCAGACCCATATGATGAATTCACACAAAATTTATTCACTTTGGGAAGAAGAGCAGTTATATGGGCCATCTGGATGAGAAGATGTACATATGAGATGGAGGGAGCCCGCTTGGATGACCCTGAATTCACTGAGACTATTAAATTATATGTTCAAACTGAAATTACAAATAAATGGGATCAGGTGAAAGGAAAAATACGACATTTGTACTATAAAATGGAAATCCATAAACATATCCAAAACTTCAGTACATGCTGGCTTGGAGGAAACAAGGGGGGGAAACTAGGAATTTCAAAAGTAAAATGGGAAGGGGCCAGATGAGGGGATAATGAAGACTTCATAAGAGATTATACGATAGTTTCTTCAGGATTGGACAATGGTAGATCCATCCATTCCCCTGCGTTTTCCACTAGAGTTTCCTGATCCCTTCCCTCCTCCATTATCAACTATTGTTCCCAAGTCTTGGTTTGGGTATGATTAAGGATATCAAATTGGAGTATGAAGAGTTCTTGTGTGAATCAGGACCAGCTAAGTAGTGCTAGACCTGGCGTCAAAAAAAAAAAAGGATGAAGAGGCGATGATTCACGAAAGACTATCTCAGATTGTACTCTCTCAATTTCTTATTGTAAAAGGGACGATGGACCCGTTTTCCAGTAGGTGCAGCTCACCACCACTAGATGGAGTCTCTCCGGGAGTACTAGTGATGTCTGCTATAATCAGCATCACTAGCATTCACTCAGACTGTTCTTAAAAAAAATAAAAATAAAAATAAAAATAATAATAATAATTGTTGTTTTCGCATGCTCTTTAGGCTATAGCCGACATGGGTTGCTCTTACGATAGTTGTGGCTAATAGATGTCTAGGCGAGTAATCTCAACTTCATCGTGACGAATTGGAACCACCGTAGGAATTATACTCTGCATGTGTGACTCGTTGAATTGGCCATTTACTTGTTGTTTTCGTCTCCTGTGTTTGTTCCTTATGTTGGTTGAGTGGTGATTGGTCTTCGTACCTTGATTTTGCCGAAAGGACTGGGAATCAGAATAGAGATGGTTGTTTTCAGTGTGGATCGATGAGTCATTGGGTTCAAGATTGTTCTCAACGGGGTTTGGGTGTACGCCCTCCAGCTACGGGTGCTAATGCCATCCCTACGGACCACCTATCCTGGCTCTACCTGCTCCGGGTGCCGCTGCTCCTATGACAGGGAATCAGAATTATAATAATAATAATAATGCCCCATCTTCTTCTTATGGTCCATCTTCCTCGTCTACTAACTACAGATTTGGTAATGGTACGGGGACTGGGAATGGCCACCAAGCACGTCCGAATTGGTGGATGCGTAATCAGGAAAGGTTGGATAAGGTATATGGAAAGTATGTGGAGGACATGGAACGTGAAGCCAAGAAGAAGGATAAGGAGGCCAGGGAAAAGGCAAAGAGAGACGAGGAGGAGAGGATTTCGATATGGAAGAAGGAACGTGAGAAGTTCGAAGCAGAAATGGGTGAACGATTGGAGAAGAGAATGGACGCGTTGGATATTGTAAAAGGGAAGGCGACGGAAACGGATAAAGGGAACCTTGCAAGTGAAGAGGTAGCTAAACTACGAAAGGAGAACGAAGACTTGAAACGCAAGTTAAGAGAGGCGACGTGCCCTGTGGGAGAGGACCGTACGATGTATCTGCAGGGTGAGATTATGGAGCTTTGTCAGAAGGTCGGAGAAAAGCAGGTCGATGAAGACGTCATCACCGCACTGAGAGCAGAGATTGGTGAGCTCAAGAGGTCCGCACTCATGAAGATGAACTTTGAAGAAGAGATTGCAGGTCTAAGGGAGGAGGTGAATGTGCTACGGGATCAGAATGAACGTGTTGTTTTGGAAATCGGGCAATGGAAAGAGCAAGCTCTGCGCCTTGGTAACAAAAGAGGAAGCGTGGTGTTATAGACACCAGAGACCTTTAATCGAGCATCACCTAAGCCACGATGGACAGACAATGTAAAGGAGGAAGACAAATGGAAGATGGAGTATAGGAATCTGCAGAGTCTTCACCGATTGACAAACATTGAAGCAGAGGCGTTGAAACAGAAACGGTCCGAGGAGGAAGCACGAAGATTGGACGCCGAGAAACAAGTGAAAGGACTTGAAGAGAAGATGGGGAAGCTCATGGCTAATGGCGAGAAAGAGAAGAGCAAGACTACCAGGGTACGAATCTGAAAGAACGATTGGAGGAAGCCGAGTTACGGTCGGCTATAAAAGGGCTCAAAGCGACCCTAGGGAGAATGAGAGTTGGATCGACGTCCGCTTCAGCGCACTGTAAAAAGGAACCTACCCCTAGGCAAGCGCCTGCTAAGACGAATGATCGGGCAGAGTTTGTTGAAGAACAGAAGCGGCAGCTGCGGATGCTTCAGAAGATTGGCTTGGAACCACTTTGCAAAGAAGAGGGTGTGAAATTGGGTAAGTTCGAAAACACCATCTACGAGCTTGCGGAAACCCGTGCCCGGAAAGCGTTTGGAGAATCTGAGGGTCAAACCTCTCGGGGTGACCAAGAGGTTCAGGAGGTAAGTGATGATGCGCCAAAGAGTTATGAGGATACTGAACACGAGGTGGATAAATCTGTCGAACTATAGGAACCTTTCCCGGACGCGTCGTTACTTTGGTCTCTAGCAGATGAGTGTCGAAGGAAGAGATGTGGGCTGGTTATTACAGAATCTGATCTTTCTGCCTCTGATTGCGCTAGGCCTTCGCTTTCTTCAGTTACTTCACCTTTCTTTCTTAGAGATGTGGAGTTCAATGCTTTCTTTAGATTAACTGTGATTGGGCTTATTATTCGGGATCAAATTCCTTGGGCATGGAAGTTTAAGGAGTACATATTGAGATTGCTTATTGATGGTTTTAACTTAAAAGCATGCCCTGGACCCCTCGTCTATATTCTTCTTTCACCTTGGTCCAAACACTGTTATGTTGGCTCTACTTCTCGTTCGCTTCCTATTCGTTGGGCGGAGCATGTATATCGTGCATCTAATCCAAAAGTTATTGAGCAGGGTAAGCGGAACCATCAGTTGTACTGCTGGCTAAGGAGATGTCAGGTTGGGCAGTATGTGGCGATTCCGCTGTTTGGGTGTGGCATCGATGAGATCGATAACTTGGAAAAGTTTGCTATCCGTTGCTTTGGTCCCCATTTAAACAATAGAGATAGGAAGCAACGATGCAAGCGACGTAGGCTTGGGAAGAAAGAACGAGGGTGGAGGAAACGGAATGCTGGGATTTTAATGACTGCCTCAACCCCGTCTACTCCTCTGATCTTCCACTCAACTATTGGCGTTGTCTCCTCGAGTCTCTCTGCTATTCTGGATCACTGTGTCAATCTCAAGGTTTCGTCCGTAGAGATTGTTTGTACAGGGGGTCGGGTTCTTTCTGATAACTGGAAACTTGTCAAACGACGATTTGGTTTCTCTCTGGTCAGCAACTCAGGGGATTTCAAATTGCTGAAGAAGGCGAAGTACATGTTTGCACCGGGAAAATTTCTTCGTATTGTTAATATTGTCCCCTTTCTTGCACGATGTTTGATTTTGAAGTCGTCTTTAGCCGAATATCTTACCAATCCATCCTCCAGGAAAGAGTTGTTGAACCTCGAGTTTCCAATGTTGGTACAGACTGACTCTGCTATTCGTTGTTTTTCGGAAAAAAAGTCGCGTTATCAATTACGGATTATATTGTCCGCGGTTATCAGAAGAAGGTTTGGGATTAATATTCGACGACGTTTGGTGATTCGAATGACCTACAATGCTGTAATTAGTAAGCCTGGGGTTCGTGCGTTGTGCTCAGACTTGGTAATGAGATCGGATGTAGAAGAGGGATGAAAACGCATGATAGTACGCCGGATGCATATTGTGTGGCTTAAAAATAAATCAGTAGGGGATATGATCTTTAATTTTAGGGAAGCTGCCCGTGTATCATGTAATGTATGTAGTTGTTCGTCTTTAAATCAGTTTTCGTTTGAATAGTTGGGAACCTGCCCCGGCTTGGTTGCGTAATAATAAGAACGTGGTTTTTCCAGAATATCGTGATGTGGCCGGAAGGCTCAAAAATCAGATTTTGCCCTCCTTCTCTGCTCTTGACTTGGCTCTCCCTCGGTTAGATCGTGGTTCTGTTGCTTCTTGTTGTCTTGGTTCGGAGGAAACTCAAAAGGACTGTTCTAATTCGAATGCCATTTCTTGGGCAAATAAGTTAAATGGATTAGTGTGGGTATCAATTGACCATAGTCCTTGAGATACGTACGTGTGTTGTCCGTTACTATACCAGGAGGGGATTAATGGGTTGTTCCATAATAATCCTGGATTCAGCAGAATTGAGACTGAGGAAAATACGCTGATGAGATTGGCTAAGAGGGACTATGAGCTGGAAGGATTGAAAAAAGTGGGAAGGTGGGATGCGAAAGGGGAGATTGGTAAGTCGTATGTAATTCCTAAACACAAAGATGTGTTTAAGTGGCGACCCATTTGTCCGTCATTCAGTGAGTGTGGGGTTAAAGGTTGTCGGGAAATTTCTCGGTCTGTGAATACGATGATTTGGAATCTGCCCAAGGCCTCTCACTTCAACTTGAAGAGCGCTGATCTTTTGGTCGACTCGCTTAATTTGGTTCACAAAGGATTGAGGAAAGGTGACTCTCTACTCACAGCAGCTTTTGATATAAAGGAGATGTTTTGTAATTTGCCTCACGCTTCTATCCAGAATGCAATCGAATGGATCATTGACCTTTGGGAGGGAAAAGAGGCGAAGGGTGTCTTGTTACAGAAGCGGGGTAAGGGAGCTAAGATCCTAAGAGGCAAGAAGCAGGAAGGATGGGATATGCTCCTCTTCGATGACATTTGAAAGTTCGTGAGGTTTGACTTAGATCATACCTTTATTCGGGCGAATGAGATTATTCTACAATAGAAAATTGGAATTCCCATGGGTAAGCCTTCCAGTCCTGCTATTGCTTGTCTACTCTGTGCCTATTCTGAGTTCTCTTTCCTTGCCTCCCTCGGGGCGAATCGCGGGTTGGTCAATGGAATTCGGCTCATTGACGATGTCTCGATTTTTGTGAAATACCGGGAAGATGACTGTAATTCTCTTCGCAAGGCGAAGAGATTTTGGAGGGCTTTGCAAAATGCTACGATCCTAAACTGAGCTTGGTGTGCACTAGTAAAGTTGTTGCTTGGGACTTTTTTGGGTGTGTTCTGAGGAAGTTCAGCTGGCCTTTTGGAATCCAATGTGCGGCGGTGCATAAAAACCAACGGGAGGTTTTGAGTTTGGGATTATGTTTTCAGAGCCTACAGGATAACTGCTCTTACGTGAGTAAGAAACAAAAGATGGCGGTAGTTGAATCTTTTCTTCACCGTGCTCGAAGGTTCACGAGCATGCCAGCTGTCGAGGTGATGTTCCTGTTCACTTTGAAGATGGAATTGAGAATTCGAGGATTTCCAGACGAAATTTTTGATAAATCTCTGTGTAACTTTTCTGTCAAGTTCGGAGGCCTGTGGGATTGTTGGATTGGGTGCTTAACTGGTTGGGATAAAACTTCTTCGAGAATGCGAGTTTGGGGCCTTAATGGCCCCTTTGGGAGGGGGGCACTTCGATAAGGTTAATTACTCCACACTGGGCGTGGAAAACTGGGGTTAGAGCTCTTGACCTGTGTGTCCCCTGGCCCGGGAAGAGGGTACTGGGACCCTGGAAATTTTGGAGACAAAAACTTTATGGCGGCCCTATTGGTGATTTTGATGTTTCGAATCGAGGCGGGCCGGTTCACTGGTAGGAATAGTTGGCCTTGAGTTCTCGAGTAAGGCCTGTGGGTTTCGAACCGTGGACTATTAGAAGTAGCTGTTTTTTAACGCCACTCTGCTTGGGCTGTTCTAGATGTCTTCGAGTGTCTGTCTTTCCATAAATAGTATGTCTTGCACATCGATTGGCACTCGATCTTGTGACAGCCCCTGATGATTCCGGAACCGGCTCCGGATGAAACGCGTAGGGCTTGGCCGGAGTGTTGACCTTGCTTTATCACTACGGATATGACGTCCACTTTTGGGTTCAACTTGTTGGCAGGTTTGACTTTTTATTATACGATGCCAGCAATCGTGTTCGGGAGACATCAATGTGTGAACCTTCCTCCTTCTACTCTCTTTCCTTTCTCCCCTCTCTTTCTCTCCTCCCTTCTCTTTCTTCTTCTACTACCTCGCTATTCAAGGGTGTCTTCTTCATTACTGTGGCTGTGATTAGGCCGAATGGTCGTGTGTAAGAGATCTTGTTGTTTTCGCATGTTCTTTAGGCTATAGCCGACATGGGTTGCTCTTACGATAGTTGTGGCTAATGGATGTCTAGGCGAGTAATCTCAACGTGTATCTTTCCATGTTCTAGCGGAAAATTGATTCTCATTTTGCACGAGGCCCATAGATTGCTCCCCCCGCCTCTCACGCGGAGTCACGTGAGAAACAGAAGACATTCTTCTTCTAAAAAAAAAACAAAAAAAACAAAGGCAAAATGTCATTTCAACCTCTGAACTACGTGACGTGTATCTACCCATGTTCTACAGGACTATTCATTCTCATTTTGCACATTCGGTGAGTTGTGGAGCGAGGCCCTTGATCTCGCTGGCTCTTTTTTTGCCTTTTTTAGTAAGCCCTGTCAACAAGGCAGGGCACTCCCTTCTCGGTTTTTTTTTTTTTTTTTCTTTTGTAAGGAAAGAATTTTTATTCATCATCAAGAGAGGGGCCGGGGACCCCATAGCTCAACCCGGAAAAAAAAAAAACATCTCTGGCAGCATTAGCCAGCTTAGCTTTTGACGGGACCAAGAGGACCCGGTACGCACAGTTATGACGTATACTGGGGGATGTTACCTTCCCTACAGCCAAATTAAGCATTCCTGAAAGAAAGAAGGAGGGTATGAAGCCAAGGGAGCTACGAAGACCTACCCAGCACATCACAGGCCTAGGATGGCCTGA